CGCTGTGCCCCTATCTGTCCCTGTCGGCCGGGTTGCTCGTGGAGGGGTTGATGTGCAGTTCAAATTCCAGCCAGACTGAGGGTCCGTGGGCTGCGAGCTGTTTTCTGCGAGGGTGTCAGGGGTGTGTAGGACGCTCCGGGAAGAGGGTATGTCTAATGCAGGAGGAGCATGGGGTAAACCAATGACATGCTCGGTCCAGTTCCCGGTTGTGGCTTGAAGCCTTGAACCCATGGTCAGCAACGCAGTGTCTATGATACTGACGGCACCAGGATATCGTCCATCCTGCCGACCTCCCTCCGCCGAAGGATGACAGCGCTTGGGCAGGCTGTGAGGCAGATAAAGCAGGCAGGGCAGCAATTGTTGCACAAGTTCTATCAAGAAAGTCAACGGGATGAGGTACCGTCCGCCATGCACTCCTCCCAGCTTCGATATTCAGGGATAGGCTCTTTCGGTCTTAGTTGTGGCTTGACTGTCAGCTCCAGAACCGCCAGTCAGGAGGGGCTGGATGAGGGGTGCGAATGCAGAAGCGTCGAATCCGCCGCCCAGACAACGACAGCAAGGAAGAAACAGGATCCAAAATGGAGACTGACTGCATTCTTACCAAGCTTGCAGCGATAGCGAAAACAGGCGGCACCTGCGCCCCATTGATGAGCTGGATTGTCCGGGCTGCCGGGCAATGTAAGACAGTCGATAGTGCCATCATCCATAGTCCATTAAACAAAATTGTGGTCGGTACGAGATGGATGCTGATCGCCTAGGCCGTGTGAATTCTATACCCAGGACTTTCCTCTGTTATGGCGAATAGAATGTGGAGATTTTGAACCCTTACTATGTACAGAGCCTTTCCAGTTCGACAACTTTCCGTTGTACAAGACCAATCTGGGTGCTACTGACTCGATCCGGTGTACTTCCTAAAGCGTTTCCCGGGATTCGAGCTCTCGCAGCTGGCCTGAACGACGAGTAGTGTACGCTGCGAACCCACATGCCTCTGTCTGAGGGGCTATCAAAGCGAGGTATCTCACGCGATCGCGGCGTGGCAATCTCAGTTTCTTAATTGCCTCGTTTAGAGGGTCACTTGGACAATGATCTCTTGCCGTACGCCGCCGGTGTTCCGGTACCAGGTGGTTCAGCCTCTGAAACATTTGACGCTGCAGCGTCAGGGAAGCTGTCCGTATTTCCTCCGCTTGTTGAGGGACTTGGACTCTGCTTGGCTGATCGGACCCCAGGGAACCAAAGCCACAAAGACGGTGCAGCCAAGGAAGGTCGCTTTCCAGGCCCAACATGTCTCTTTGGCTAAGGTACCTTGAGCATGAGGAAACCAAGGCCGTTTCGATCTCTGCCGAGGCGAGCGTTGCATGTCGTAGAAGTCAAAAGGCACAGGCTTACCATTTATTACTGGTTTCGTTATCATCATCCCGGCTCACATTTCGATGTCCGTCTTATCCGGCTATAATTGGCCAGTTTGCTGTGTTTTGAAGATGCTGACTTCACCCGCAATGAGTAGTACCTCACCAGTAAGGAGTGGCAGTGGTGACAATCTGGACGCTTGCACGAGTAGTGATTCGCATCCATCACAGCGATTTGTACATGTACAAGAACCATTGTGAGTAAGCCCTTCTACGTACTCCATCGGAATGATCCTGCTGATACTCGTGATCGCGAGCGACTTTTACCAGGTCGCTCAGCAGGACGATGGGGCTATTCGGCGTGGTCTTGGCAAGGTTAGAGGCGTTTCTGGCATGTTGAGGTTCCGAATGACGAAGTTACTCTGGTAGGTGGTGGACGCAAAGTCACTAAAATAAGTGGATCTCATAAACGGGGCAGATTTGAACGGTTCTCGAGGCATGTATCGTTCCTTCCGCTTCAATGAAACCTTTTTCCTGCCAACATGATCAGGCAAGCGCAACAGTGCATTTTTGCTGTTTGCAAGGAGGGGCAATCGTCAGAAAGACAGGGAAGAAAGAGAAAAAAAAACCTATAAGGTTGGACCAAACTTGAACTTTGTCATCAGACAACCGCTCCGGTAAAGCGGAAACTATCAAACATCTTTGTACTGGTTCACGTCCATCTGTAAAGGGAAAGAACGGCCATCCGCCTGCTGTGGAAGGGTGCGGTGGGGCTCATGTTGGCTCCGTTTCCTCGTCTTGCATCAAACCATCACATCTCTCCAGAAGCTTACCACAGTAAGCCATCCGGACCTAACTTAGGTACCTCTACCTACTTCATTCTCGGCTGGACAAGGACAAGGCTGCTGCCCGTACTCGCCAATGGACAGAGCGGATCAACAAACCGCATGCCACGCTCGTACCTCTCAAACGTCGTGCCACGGCGTAGATGAGTCTGGGCGGGTTAAAGCAAAGCATCTGGCCGCCACAGACATGGTGACGAGCGCAGCGATAATTGACTGGACATTGGCCGGTCATTTTTTCCACGACGCTCACCTTGCATACAACGTTTGTAGGTCCCATATGCCCATATTGCTAACGGGCTCGTTCCTGGCCGCAGTATTGGCAGCACTTGATGCCACCCGTTGGCCGCTGGCCATTTGGCTCGAATTGTGTTCTGATATACGACCATTGGTAGCGGTTATACCCCAGGCCGCTTCGCTGCTCCCTTGTGTCCCCGGCCCGAGCAACAATGCCATTACACCCTCTGGCTCATGCTGTCACAGACGGAAATGCGCACATGCAAGGCCAGGCGACTGAATTAGCAGAGATCGATGCGAAGCAGGCGGCCTTCAAGGTCCGTCAAAGGCTGCCCGGTTCTGCAGGCGTATCACCGTTGGGCCACACCCATACTTGCATCCGCTGCCTGCTGCTCTAGAGTCTAGGCATTGACTCTGGCCTGACGGACCTTGGCTTGTAAAACAAGGCGTTGTCGTGGCTGAATGTCCGCTCATGGTTAACACTGCTCTCACTTTACCTCGCCTCGTCGCCGTGGCCAGGCGTTGAGTTGGAGCCTGCCATTAGACGAGCTCTTGCGCCAGACCTATCGCTTGCGCTGCATTCCCGATGGACTATTCTGTACGTCTACTGATGTGATAGCTCATGTCACGGATACATCACTATGGCTCGTCTTGGACCCACGACTTGTCTTGATCGTTGATGTTTATTGTTGCGATTTGCAGTCGACTTGCAGCCACGGCATAATCTGCTAGAGATCTAGATCTCAGGTGGAGGAGCCCGGATGGGTTCCTGGGCCTTCTCGTGTCCATCGTCGATCGCCAACCACAGATTTTGTCTTTGCGACGTCCGAATGACTTCACAAATGGTTGTAGTTACTTACTAGTCGATGTCGACGAGCAGCGTGGCGGGGTTTGCAGCCCACAGTGGATGTGGCACTTTACCACAGTACCGTCCTGTTATTCAGACTCTCAGGGGGTCACACATGAACGAACAATTCCAGTCTAATCGACATCCGTCCGGGTTGGCAAGAAAAACCCACCTCACTACTCATCACCGGCTCCAACTTCCAAGACTACCGCCATTCGTATGAGGGCGTCACGCTATTCGTACGCCGCACTCCATATCTGAGGTATGCCGCTCCTTCCGGGCAAGAATTACAAGTCGGGATGTAATCCCGACTCTTGGCCGGAGCTGAAAGTATCCTTGAAGAAGAGACGCTGAAATTGTTCACCGGCGCGGAAGTTGCATGTCTGGCGGTGGTTCGCGCCGTCTGCGCCATTGTGGTGGTCAAGCCCTGCAAAAAGGGAACGCTCCTGTGTGACCGACCAGTTTAAGGGCTGACTTTAGCCTACCAGGTGTCCAGGTCTGCTCGGAGTGTCTGTCGCCTTGCTCTAACCACAAAGAACCAATAAAAGCCCGCTTCTTCGCACGGTGATCCAAAACCTGCCGTTTCGAGATCAGTTTCGTTTGGCTGGGGTTTTGTGGTGTTTGTAACTCCACCATGCAAGGCCCGACTTGGAACTTTTGAAGGTCGTTCGTTGGTCCCGTCTAGTCCCTTGGTCTCGCAACGACGATGCTTATTCCCCCAAATCAGTGGGAGCTTGAAGCCTAGGGAGCTCGCCCGGCGCCCGGGCATGACTCGATAAGCAAAATCATATGCATGGCGCCGTCAGATTGTAAGACAGCTCGCTTCATGCAAAAGTGTACTGACCTGCCTGGCCGCCTCCCTGCCTGCCTGCTGCGTCAGAGGGAGCCACAAAGATTTCTCGTGGCTCAAGTCTTGACAGTTCTCAGTGCAACTCTACGAGTCGGACCGGCTGTAATAATCACCAAGAGGGAAGCACGAGTTTCGCCGACGACCAAGGGCAGCATTCGCGACCCTCGGTGACTCGTGATGGGGTTAAAAAAATTGTCCCGCATTATGCACCTTTTCCACTTCGCAGATCTCCATGGTTCGGCGACCATCAGACGATGCCCCTTTCACACGTACTGAGCGGCCAGCGCGGAGTGTTCTTCTGTCAGAATTTCCGTGACATTTACGGCGTGTGCCGTCCCCGCTTCGGCGAGGACAACTTGTGCTTGTCATGAATACCCTTTGCTAGACCGCTAGACCAGTACCAGGTAGCCGATGTAGACCTAGCATTGTTCAAAAGTCACCTCGGGCGCGACGCCATGCATCAATCATAGCCAATCCAATCACAGACATGACCGTCACGGCCCAGCCTACACCGGATTCGGCTACTGCTGGTAGTGTAGGTCTCGTTTTCTTTCATTGCTCTGCTATGCAATCGGACCATCGAACGAGGACCTGCTTCCCGGCTAGGCCTGTCTTGCCCTCTAAACGCCACGCACGCCTTGAGGACCGAATCATGCGTATGGGCCCGTGCTTTCTGACCGAGGCGGCCTGCTGGGACGGTCCGATGTTGCATGCTTCTGAGCGAAAAAAGACGGATCCCTGAATCCACCTCCCACGAGTCAAGTCTCCTGCACACCAGCCAGTCCCAGCCATCTATCTGTTCAAGTAAGACAATAAGCTCTCACCCTCCAACAACAGCCGAGAGGGGTGTAGTTTCACCTGGTCTTCCTGGCAGTCACGGGGGTGTAGCTCATCTGGTAGAGCGCGTGCTTAGCATCCGGATGATCCCCGAGATCATCGGTACATGTTCCTGCACGAGGTACTGGGTTCGACTCCCAGCTCCTCCACACTTTTGCTGTTGGGATTCTTTTTTTAGCGTCCACCTTCAATTGCTTGGGTTTTCACGACAATCGGTGATTTTGTTGAGGCTGTTGACTGCGATTGTAACGATGATCAGGCTGCCAACACATTTTCTTTGCGTTGTTATGTGTCTACGCCCCGACTTGGGGACACGAAAATTCACATACCAGCCAAGCGGCGTGAATTGAAGAGGCGTGCACACTTTGTCAATGTTGTTGGCTTTGTTTCTGGTCTACATACCGATGGGATAGGATCGTGCAACACGGCTCCAACAGCATCAGATCTCACAGACCAAGGCTGCCTTAATCCTCCTCACATGAAATGACATGATTATAATATTGTCTCGAGAATAACGATGCCGCCAGAATTGATGATACTCAACCTATTCTCGTCTAGCGGACGTCGGGTTACATGAACTCGATACATCTCGCATGTCAGCTCTTTACCGCCTGGCGCGACACTTTGCTCCTTCCCATTCCTACCTACTCTGCATCTCGACCGTGGCCGCCGCCAGCAGAGACTCAGCCAATCACAATCCAGACCACTGCTGATACTTCGCCAGTATCACCCGCAGACGCCATCTTGCGTCTTGCTCGCTTCGAAGGCGTTTCTTGCGTTTCCCACGCTGGAGCATCCCTCGACCCCTAGCGCGGGCGCTGCTGGGTGCAAAGCTTCTTTACCGAGACTCGACCGTCTGCCATCTCGACACTGTGAGGGCTCGGGAGTGCTCTTTTGTTCTGCCACACCAACAGGGCTTGGCCTCATTGGGTTTCGACCACGCGGGTTCCGTGGCCGTTATACGTTGGCTAGTCTGTCTGCACATTACGCCAACAATGCGAAACGGGCTGCGCAGCGGCGGACCGCCATGCTTGGGGCTGTCTTACGAGGCAATGGGTGTCATACACATTGGAATGCACCACTAGAACACCACGTCCGTCCCCGACCAGAGAAGGTCATACCACTCGTTCGTCCCAGGATCGAGGCCCGGTCCCGTCTGGTCAGAGTTGAAACTCGGGCTGGCGAGCATACTGTCCGTTACGCTCAGGTCGTTAGTGATGAACTGGCCGAGGGCATCCAGATCCCGCCAGGAGAAGCCACTCAGCTCCGGACCCCGTGACGGACCACCGCCACCCGACTGGTTGCCCCCCGTTATCGCGGGGTCGAGCGCCGCCTGGCCGCCGGCCGGTATCTGCGCCGAGTCGCCCTGCTGCTTCTCCACTACGCTCTGGGGCGTCTTGCGCCAGAGGAGATACAGGGAGCGGGCGTATCTGTTCCCGATACTGTCCGGGCTGACGGAGGACCGCTGCAGTCGGTCGATGGTGACGTTTATGGTCCGCCGGACGCTGCTGCTCGCCTCTCGGCCCAGGGCGCCCGCCAGCCGGGACTTGAAGAGGAACACGGCGGCGTAGATGACGTAGAGGTAGTACTTGATCGGCATGTAGCGCAGGCCGGTGACGGGGTCGATGAAGCTGTTGAGCGTGCCGAGGAGGGAGTTGGCGGCGTCGATGGACTCGTAGATGAAGCGGGCGTCGCAGCTGCCGGCGACGTCGGAGAAGAGCGGGCCGGACTTGGCGGAGGTGGACGAGTTCTGCCGGGCGCGGGCCATGGCCCGGTTGATGGTGGCTTGGAAGGCGAAGGCGTTGATGTAGAGGCGGAGGAAGTCGTAGGAGAGGATGAGGGTTGCTTTTACGTGGGGCGTGACTGGAAGTGTCAGCACACAGCCAAGGTGAACCCAGGACATGATGATGATGATGATCATGATGACATTGATGATGGGGATAACTCACAGCTCAGACTCCCCCATACTAGTTTCCACTTTCGCAACGTGGATGTGAAGTCATCCTGCCCCAAGTCAGCCACGATTGACATGCAGACGTTCGAAATTGCTTACAATGTATCGAACGTACTCTCCGCCGAGATACAGGTGCTCTCGATGACTTGTGGACGAGTACAGGATGTCGTGCGCATTGCCGAAGAGCTGCGTCAGCTCCAAATGAGCTTGGAAGAGCAGCGAGAGGTCATCCGAGCCCATCTGCTGCGCTTGTAGAGTCGGGAAGTCGGCAGCGCGCAGGATTGTGGAAGGACCTGGTCCCCGAGACCAGAAGCCTTTGCCGAGACGGATTGACACATGTCTGTCGCTCATATAGCAAGCTGCGAGCTGTAAGCCTCTGTTACGTGGGCCCTGGCATTTGATAATCAGGATGACTTACCCGCCCAAGCAAGTTGTTTTCGACTAAACCCATCCGGCTTCGGATCCTTCGCTTGCAACAGTCCAGTCTGCTCAAGTCTCTGCAAATACCCCAGCCTGATGGCAACCCCGACTTGCATCCAGGCACCTTGGTCTTCCTCTCCACGGCCGATGGTTGGCTTCTCTTGGAGCCGTTGCGGCGCCCATTCGGCCAAAATCAGTAGAGCCTCGACAGCACCAACCGTTGTCGAGCCCCTGTATATCAGCTTGGAGATCAGTGTCTCCATGTGCTTAGAGCATGCCTCGTGTATGGCTGCCCAAGATGGCTCGTCCTTGGAAGCAACGGTGAGGACTGCTGTGAGGAGGTGCGGTTCCTTGTCAACCCATTGCAGGACGTCATCGCTCATGAAGATGTCCTTGTGGGCTATGGGGAAGTATGGGTGGTATTTCTCGTGGTAGCTGGAGGTCTTGTCAATATAATGCTTTACACATCTCATGATTAACTATCAAAAGCCGACACATACTGTTTCAGCAGAGGCAACACATCGGCGACGGCGAGATACCCGTCCGCGATCGGCGGGAATATGGCTGATTGGGGGTTCATTGGCTGAGATATGCCCTTCCGTGTGCTGTTTCGGTTGACATGTTGCAGCAGGTCTCCGCGGCTCTCCGCAGCATCGCGATCGGCTACCTGAGCAAGAAGATCAAGAGCGTCAGAAGGATTGAGCAGATCAGCAGACGCGATGTGGTTCTCGATGTCGCTGGCGGCAGAAGACTGCCGTCGTAGGGTGGTAGAGCCCGAGGTGGTCTCCTGCCATCCGTCATCCCACTGGCGCAGGTGCTGCCGTGGCGACGTGGCAGGACGAGACTGCCACCGATCATCTGGCGGGCCGGTGGTAGAAGGGGTAGCTTCGGCGGCGCACGAAGCGTTGCTCTCCGCTACATGGCTCAAGGTCGGTGTCTGCGGAGGCGGCAACGACGAGCCGTTTGATACGGCCAGAGACCTCTTGACGCGGCGTCCACCGCGGCGTGATTTGACCAAGATGCACTCCTGCTGCTCCTGGGCGCATCTTCGGCACGGAGGAGCGCCGTCAGAATCGCCGCTGCAAATGTTATTAGCCTATCGTCGCTCGACGACTACCTCGAGTTGTAACCTACAGGTTGCATCTCGTCTTCCTTGTGCGGCATGCCAGGCAAGCCCGAGATGCCCGCTTTTCCTTCCCAATTCCCGAGTCGGATGCCATTGTTCGGCTATTGACGAGGAGTTGACAAGTCTGTTTTGTCTAAGAATCAGTTCGACCCACGTGTACGTGTGAATGTTGACCTGTACAGTGAGCGCGTAGTTCCAAACGGCGTCGGCCCACCACGACTGGGTTATCTGGGTACCTAGAATTTCTGATCGAATGTTGTAGTGCAAGAAACCAAAGTCATCGCCGTCGGTTTGTTTCCTCCTCGGTGTGCGCTTCACCGACAGCGCCGGGGACCCACACAAACACTGCGGGCGTCGGCTAATGATTACCTCCGCCATTTCGGTAATTGGAACCGGATACGCGAGCAAACATGGGCTTCCGGCCGGCACCTTGACCTTCATACTCCGCCTGACCATAACTAACGTGTCTTGAAGCACATCGACAGACTGATTTATAAAGTCATGCCAGAGGACCTCATTGTTGCATACCCTCTGTGGCAGACTCGTCCCATCCACTCAGACTTCTGCTGCCTGATTAGATTTGGAGCTCGCAAATACGAGTTTCGCCGCCGGCAGCTCTGCAACATGGACATATAGAAGGCAATCACTGACTACTGGCCGTCGATTTTATGACAGGCGCACAGAAGGATTTGTTTCAATAATCGCAAAAACTGAGCCTTGCCGTCTGCAAGGGAAATCCGTTTCGAACCTCTGGGCCAAGTCACATTGCCGGTCGTCCGGCATGGACATGCTGGCGAGTAGGCTCGTGACTCCTCGAGAAAGGCCACGTGAAAGGGCCGCAATCCTTACGAGAGGAGTACCAAGACATATTAAACCGGATCTGAGCGTACGAATTCGGACATAGAAACTGGCTGACTGGTTTATACGGTCCTGGACTGCTCAAGGAGGATATTGTCTTGGACATATGATATGTCACAAAACCGCTGCCATGACGTGGATCGTATCGGCCATCCCATCCCTCCAATTTCAGTTCTAGAGACAGGCAACGTCCAGCAGACCTTGGGCCAGCGGGTCTGGATCGACAGGTCGAGACGAACGTCGTCAGAGGTCTCATCCCCCTATAGTCCAGTATCAAGGCCTGCGCAATGGTCAAATGTGTCTGGCTTGTCAATTCGCGTGACCTTCGCAAGAGACAGCTGCTGTCTGCTTCCCTCATCTCGAAGACGACCCGTGAATGCTACAGACTTTTGCCCTCCCCCGAAAATAGGCGATCGCAGAAAGGAAACAATGTTTCAATGACATTGCGTGCGATTTGTTGTGGACGGATTCTGAACTTTAGTTGGCCAAGCACATCGATCGAGCTTCAGCTCAGGCACCCAGGGATACTTTCCAGATCAGCAACCTCACTGAATATCTCCATCTTACACAGGAAAGATTAGAGCTAGGTGATGATAGATATCTGGGCAGATTGCGTGCTGGTGCGGTGTACCTGTACATCATGGCGAGAGGATGATGCATGCTTGATGTCATAGGGGACTTACACCCCGCCAGAGCTTCATATAAGTTCATGACTGCTCGCCATCACGCGATCAGCTTTTCGCCATATAAAGCCATAAATCATTGAATAGCTTCAGTCCATCGTGCAATTC